ACAACTTTAACTTAAATCAGGAGTTCTTAATGTCCCTTGTGACATGGACCCCTTTGACAGTCTGGTGAAGCCTGTGGACTCCTTTTCAGAATAAAGTGTTTAAATAATTGAAGGAAATGTTAAATTTCAGTCAGGGGGCAGTGATAATCAAGATGTAACTTCTCCGTATCCAAGTTCATGGATCCTCTGAAATCTAAGTGTCCATGGCTGCTAGGTTAAGGGCCTCTGACTTAAACAATTTAAATAGACTCAAACTCTGTAAGCTAAAAAAAGAGAGAGAGAGAGAAGAGTCTATTTGAGACAGTTCTTAACTTTTTTTCCATCTCATGGTTCCCTTTGACAATCTTGTGAAATCTATGGACACCTGTTTTTAAATGTATAAAATAAAATTAATAGACTTACAAGGGAGATCAATTACAGCATTGCTAATATGATTTCTGGGGCATATGTTCATGATGGAAGGAAGTGCTAAATTGTAATAACTTTCAATTAGGGCGAGTAATTTTTCCCTGTATCAGTTCGTAGTCCCCCTGAAATCTATTAAGGTTAAGAATCCTTGCTTTGAGAGTCCCTGGAGGTCATTAGCAATGGACACAGTGGGCAGGCAAAGGGAAAAGGGATAGGTATTCATGTAACTACGTGCGTTGTGGGCAGGAGCTAATTTCTGGCAACCAAACAATGAGAACTTTAATACACAAATGAACTAAGAACAAACAAGATATGTCTTATGCCTCACTATTTATATCCCTGGGAGAAACAGGTTTGAAAGCAAAATATAACCATCTCTCAGTTTTCCACTTGGGTAGGGTTAAAAAAGAAAATTATGTGGACATTTTATTGACAACATTCATCTTAACCAAGTGTTTCAGATTCCTCCTTTGCCAAATATTTTATCTGTCACCAATTTAATAGGTTTAAATTTCTTTTCTTGTCCCCTCATTCTCCTCTCTTCTCTGCCCTCCCCACCCTCAATCTTCTTCTGTCTGATGTATGCCTATAGCCGTGAAGGATGGAAGAGATATTATGCATTGAGCTTCAAGGACTAGGAAACACTTTTCTTCCTATTTGGAAGTGAAATGCCAAAAATTATGTGGCATTGAGGAAAGAGGGGCCAGAAAGTTGTAAAATCCACAAACAACTGGATAAGTGAAAACTCTTTTTAAAAGACTCTTCTCACTACAAAATCTTGGAGCTGATATACAGAAACCTGGGACAAGAAAGCTGTAGAATGAAGCTCTGGGGACAGAAAATGACAGAAATATGTGTTCAGTTGTCCAGAGAAGCAAACTTTCAATTTACACTAGCAACATTTGTCAAGGTAGAAGGCATGACTTGGTCAATGTAAGACCAGATAGAAGCCAAACCAGAAATACAGGTCACTGATGATTTGAATAGAGAAAATGAAGGTGGAATGGAGTCCCAGGAAAAAAAATTAAAGAGGTGGCTGAACCAGAGCTTAAAATGATGAAACTTTAACAAATTTATTGGATAACTTGAGGAAATCAGCATATGAAACAATCTGTCCTTTGTAAGCAAGTGAAGAGTTAAAAGTGGAGGGTTGGTGGGTTGAGATTGATTAAAGGGACAGGTATGGACAAGTATTTAGGTTAAGACATCTTCCTTCTTTTTTGTATCATAGACTTCTAGGGCACTAAGGTGAAGCCTACAGACCCCTTCTCAGAACAATGTTTTTTAAGTAACTAAAAAAATGCTAAATTTCAGTTAGAGGTTATTGAAAATAAATATGTAATTTTATTCCCATCCAAGTTAATTGACCTTTTGGAATCCATCCATAGGACTCTAAGTTAAGAATGCCTTAGCTAGTTAGCCAAATCAAGGAAACATCTTAGTGGGCAAGGAGAGCTCAAGGAAGGCCCCTAGAAGTGAATTTATGGGATGATATGTACTACAGTTACATGAGATGGGCCTATATAGATGGCCTGAGAGATAGAATAGTTTTCAGTATTTGATATGAAATAAAATAAATTTTGATATGAAATAAAATAAATTCTAGGGCATTCAATATGAAAGGAAATGTATTGTAATATATGCACATAAGAAATAAAATAGGTTAATTAATTCCTTATAGCTCCCCTAATAAGCTTCTCACATCCCTTTAGAGCATGTATATCCCAGGTTGGGAAATCCTGGTGAAATGGATGGGGCATTGGGTTCTGAGTCAGGAAAACCTGGGTTCAAATTCTGCTTTAAATACTTACTAGCTGTGTGACACTGGACAAGTCACTCCATGTTCCTCTCTGTCGCTAAGTTTTCTCATCTGTAAAACAGGGGATTGGACTCAGTTGTCCTTGAAGCTCTAACATCTGAGATCTTATGATCAGTGGTTATAATCTGCATCATTGGAAGCCATATCCACCTTCTGTCTTATAAATGAGGTTGACCTAGGGTGAGGTTCTGCCTCAGGACCTGGGAATGTAAAGACCGAGATGGAAACAACCAAAGACGACATCTAGAAGATGAAACACCTACAGAGTTTCACGTGTGTCAACAGGTTTATAGAGGCAGAGAGGAAAAACCAGTTAGTATGTTGGATTGGGAGAAAGTTCTTGCCTTATTTCTTTTGTCAATATCCTGCCCCAAAACAGCTTTAAAAAGAAAACACAGCCAAGCCTCAAGCTACAGTCCCAGAGGAAAACAGAATACTGAAAGACATCAACACACACACAAAAAACAACAACAACAACAACAACAAAAAAAACTCCCACAACCAGCCATTCCTATGTGTGAAAAATAGATACCTAGTATTGAGGTTGTGACGATTTCTAATCATTGTATTTAAGGTAAATTTGCAAGTCATTAGTGAAAAAAAAATCTACTTGGTGTCAGACACGATAAGAACGGATTTAGATGGATCTGGGGAATACATATGATCTCTGTATAACAACGGCATCTAGGGAACTTATTTTCCCTGATAGGGTTCAGAGAAATGTGAGTCTAGAGATTCCCAGGAAGAGCCAACTGACTGCACAAACCTTGAAACTTTGTTAGCTATTGTAGCTGAGAGTAATTTTGAGGGCAAACTCACAGAGGCTATTGATCTCTCTCAGGAAGAGATAAAGCTTGTTGTTGCCAGGAAGTTGGGAAAAGGACAAAAGAAGAGAATAAACTTATATAGCATCTACTATGTGCCAGGTACTATGCCAAGTGTTTTTTTTTTAGCAACTATCACATTTAAGACTCACAACAACTTTGAGAGGTAGGTGCATTAACTATCTTTACTTTACAAATGAGGAAACTGAGGTAGACAGAGGTTAAGTGACTTCCCCAGGGTCACATAGCTAGGAAGTGTCTGGATTTAAACTCAGGTGGTACCAACTCTAGGGCCAGAACTGTATCTACTCTACCACCAGTGGCCGAAAGCAGAGAATATTTCTGAAGGAAAACAGTAGAAGAATGTGTGGAGGACTCCATTGATAAGGAAACTTAGATAGGTGAGGAATGTAGCCTAAGTAAGTTGGATGAGGCCCTGAAATATGGAGGGAAGGGAAAGGAACTTGAGCCCCCTTTCCTAGTAAGGACCATAGATTTGAAGCCAAATGGGACCTCAAAGGCTCTCTAATCCCACTCCATTTTTTTTTTTTTGAAAATGCAGCCAAAGGAGGTGAAGAGACTTATCCAAGGTCACACAGACAGAGTTGGATTTTCTGCCTCCTTATCCATTGTTCTTTATGCTGTACCATACTGTTTCACTAAATAGGTGGAGGAAATTAAACTCTAGGGGACAGGTTACCAAAGTCCCAGTTCTGGCGGTTGTTAAAATCTGGCCAATGTGTGTAAATTGGAGAACTTGGAGAGCTGGAAAGTTGGGCACAGCAGAGAAAAGGGCTACCATTTTAAGCCTGGGCAACTGACAACCTTTTAAAAGATAATAGTTTTGGGTTGGGCATGGTAAAGGTTATCTTTGCTACTGGGGAGATGAGGCAAGAACATCTCTTGAATTTGGGAATCTTGAGCTGCAATGGGTTATTGTCAATAAGGTGGTCACCCTAAGTATGGCTTCCATACACTGAGCCCCTGAGATCCACCCGAATTGTCCAGGTCAGAAAAAGAGCGCGTCAAATATCCTAGGCTTATCAGCAGTGATGGCCTACAAGAATACCCTAAGAGAGATGGGGGAGACCCAGTCTTAAGAAATAAACGAACAAATAAATATATGCCTTAGGTATACTAATGGCCTGGCTGTAAATTGAGAAAATAAGAGACCAATCCGAGTATGGCAAAGTGCAGTCCAGGTAAGAATTATACGAATTATTTTATAAGACAGTGCATGGTACATGGAAAGACAGTGCATAGGTGTTTAATAAATACATGTTGATTGAATGCAGCCCTGGCTCCCAGTGATAAGTAGAATACACATCTTTCATATCCAGCTTTGTGAAATATTAGCATATTAAAAGTTAGAAGCTTGTGGAGGTGAGGAAGGACTTTGATCTACAGGTTCCCTCTAGAGCAGAGATTCTTAACCATTTTTCTATCGTGGACTCCCTTGGTCATCTAGTGAATGCTATGTATGGACTTCTCACAATAGGGTTTTGACATAATTAAAGGAAATGCTAAATTTCAGATTGAGGATTAGTGAAAATAAAGATGTTATTTTTTTCTCCTTGTCCAAGTTCATGGTTTCCCCTGAAATCTGCAAATCTGTCCAGGTTAAGAATGCCTTCTCTGAGGTAGCAAAACACGACTGGACTGTTATTCCAAAGCAAAAAATGAAGAGCTCAGAGGGTGAGGTTAGACAACAGGAATTAGCTGAGGGGCGGGAGTGGTGGGAAAAACAGCTTCAACCCTCACGCCCAATTTCTGCCACATTTTTGGTCTTTTCCTTTCAGAGTCTCATGACATAGTTGATGATTTTCTTTTTTTTAAAGCAACTTTGTTTCTACAGCCCAGAGTAAGTTGGCTTTCCTTCTCCTTGAGGGAAAATGGGTGTAAGGAAAAACAACTCAAGGACAAACGATCCCACCCCACACCTTCCTTACCTGGCTCTGAGGCAGGGGACCAAGTAGGAGCGTTGGCAATGCCCTGCTGGGGGCTGGGCTGCATTCACTGCCCGGGGCGCCCGCGTCTTGTCAGTTACCGGCGCCGGAGCAGACGGAGCCTCGCAAAGTAACTCTTGGGGACCGAAGGGCCAAACTTCAGGGCTCCAGGGGTCCCGCGCGGCCGTGGCAGCGGCGGCTCCGGCTGCTGAGCTGGCCGCGGTGGTTGTGCAATGAGCAGCAGGGACTCTGGGCTCGCCCCCTCACACAGGCGCCGGGCAGAGGAGGCTGCTCGCCTCCATCGATCATTGCCCGGGACCGACCAGGGGCAGGGGTGGCTCAGCTCCCCTCCGCTTTGCGCTGCTCAGTCCAGTCCAGCCCAGTCCAGCCCAGCCCCGCCTCGCCTGATCCAGAAGTACTTCTGGGCAGGGGCTGTCAAGGCGGCCACCGCTGCATCGTTTTATATAGAGGGGCGTAGCTGCGGAGCGCTGCCGGCTTCCCAGGGGCGCGGCTAGGGCTTGTATTAGGATTATTGCCTCCTCCCCTCCCCCATCCCCGCCTCCTCCGGGAGCCCCTCCAGGACCGTCCCAGAAGGCGATGGCAGCCCCGAGACGCCTCGTTAATCAGCCACTTCATCTAATCACATCCGCCAACCTGGAGGGGGTCATCAAAAGGGGACTGCTGGGGCTCTCTATGGTACACTGTGTCTCTGTTCCCTCCCAATGTCTGGCTGAAACTTTCCCGGCTAGAGCTGGGAGCTTCTGCTCCCTTCCTCTCCTTAAGCCAGGCTGCATTGATATTTCTTTTTTAAGTTCGAGATTGGAGTGGCCATTTACCTTTATTCCCTTTGGGCACTGTACCCGTACATTATCAACTTGAACATAGAAATAATTATTAATAATTAGAACCCAGGAGCGCCCATTTTCAAATCCAGCATCTATCACTTGCTGGCTGAGTGATCCTGGAGTCATCTCTTAATCTCCTAGTGCTCTAGGAGAGCAATTATAACTATAAATTGCAAAGAAGATGCCAACTTGAATTGATAGAGTGAGTTTTGTATACCAATTGGCGCACAGGTCCACTCACTGTCCTTGATAATAGAAATTAATAAAAGCTAAACCCAGGCAAAGTGCTAATTGATGTAGAGAAAAAAACAGAATCAAAAGAGATTACCTCCTCCCAAGTTATTAAAAAGTAGGGCCAAATTAATTTTCTAATTCCCCAAGAATAGATGTTGGGCATCTCTAGAGACTTGAAGCATTTAGAAGCAAGGGTAAGCTATCACAGGAGCTGGAAGTTTAAAAAGAAAAATGGTAGCTACAAGAGACTAAGGTAAAAGACTGTTGTAGAGACTTACATTTTCCTATATTCTTAGAAAAATTGAAAATGCCAGAGGCTTTGAATTTTAGCATTATTTATATGTAGCGTTCAAAAGCACTTTCAATCAGGGAATTCAGAACACTTTAAAAATGGTCATAGGATACTTCACCACATTTCCCACTCCCACTGTCTTCTGCTTGATGTATTTCCATAACTGTGAAGGACTGAAGAAATATGGTGTATTGGGCTTCCAGGGTAAGAAAACATTTCTCTTATTTGATAGGCCCAGTTAGGAGGCTTCTCTGCTTCTCCAAGTATTAGATCCTCGAAGTGGAGATGTGGTATAGTGTGAGGAACACTGAATGGGAGTCTGAATACCTGGGTTCTACTCACTATTCAAATGCTAAGCACTTAATAAGTGACTGTTGTGTGCCAGGCATTAAAAAAAAAAATGAATGTTTCTGCCCTCCAGCAACTTATGATTTGTAAGAAAAGACAACATGAGCACAAGTAAATATAAAATAAAATCACCAACTTTGTGACCTTGGGCAAGTCTTTTCCCTTCTCAGGACATTATTTTCCTAATCTGGAAAAGGAAGGTATTTGGATTAGATCATTTCCAAAATTCCAGATCTAAAATTACATAATGCTAGATCCTTTTATATTTTCCTACAAGGAAGGGCCTTAGGCTCTTTCTAGAAAATCATGCTACTTTCCTGGTGTTAAGTAACTCTAAATATCCCATTTCTAAGTGTTATTGTAAAATTTAAACAAATAACCTTCTTCTCCAGGTCTTGCCCTCCTACTTCCCTGCCCTTCACAGCAACCAAGAACACTGAAGCATGATGGGAGAGTAATTTGAAAAGTTTTTTTTTCCTCTTTTCCCCCCTGTAAAATAACTTCCTAGCAGAAAATTTGATTTTCTCCATCAAGACTGCAACACTGGATGCTGACATTTTATTTATTTGTTCGGGATTTTTCAGTTAAACTCTTCTTAAGGATTGCTTCATGGGGTCGTAGGATTTGATCCTGTGTCATCCAGAATCTTTCTGGAAACAACTTAGTTCAGGGTATCCTCTCAGTGAGGTAAAGCCACATAGCAGTAATGTGACTACCAAAGTAAAGAGTCAAACTTGTTCACTCATCTGACACTGGTGCTATCAGCTCTTCACTATAGCCAACCCTGGACTCCAGTCCATCTCTGTTCCAATGACAGTATTACCGACGAAGGCTGTTTTTTAGATAAATTCTGAGTTACAATGGGTGAGCCCTCCCAAAAGGGTGAGGTCTCACAGTAAATGATATTCTGCTGTCAGAAAATATGCAGATGAGAAGGAAATTCCAAGAAATTGATAGAAACATTAGCCAGATAAATAGGACTTTTCAAACAGTTGATTTTCTACTTCATCAACACATTGCGACATGCTAGTAAGATGAAATGCAGTGATTTCTCCTTACTATTTAGGGCTGGCAACCAACCCCTGTGGGTTTTCCAAGTAAGGTCCATATTTTTTAAACTTTAAGATCATCTAACTGTGCCTTAGAAATTCATGTTTGAAACTCATGCATGTGGAAATGAGGTCTTTTCAAGTCATTACCATCCCCATATGTTGAATGCCTACTTTGGTACAAAGAGATAATGAAGAGGAATAATACATGGTCCTTACTTTCAACATTTATAATATTTTGGTTATAACCGTAAATACATTAACTATAATAGGAGTTAGAATGTGATAAGTATAAGAGTAGTCATTAGTTTTTCTGGACAACATCCATGATAGTAAACTATTTTTCTGTATGAAATATTTAAATTTGATGCTCCCTTGTTTTTTTTTAGCCAGGCTAATTTTATTTATTTGAAAATAATATTTTATTTTTTCCAATTACATGTAAAGACAATTTTTAACATTCATTTTAAAAAAAGAATTCCAAATTTTCTTTCTCCCTTTCTTTCCTCAACCCTCCCTAAAATGGTAAGCAATTTTTTATAGGTTATATATGTGCAATCATGTAAAACATATTTCCATACTAGTCATGTTGTAAAAGAAGAAACAGGTTGAAAGTAAAAAATACACAAACATAAAAAAAAGTATGCTTCAATCTGCATTCAGGCTACATCAGTTGTTTCTCTGGATTTGGATAGGATTTTCCATCATAAGTCCTTTGGAATTGTCTTGGATCATTGTATTGCTGAAAAGAGCTAAGTCATTCACAATTCTTCATCATGTAATATTGTTGTTACTGTGTGCAATGTTCTTCTGGTTCTGCTTACTTAACTTTACATCAGTTCATGTAAGTCCAGGTTTTCTGAGAACATCCTGCTCATCATTTGTTATAGCACAATAGTACTCCATTATATTCACATACCACAACTTGTTTAGCCATTCCCCAAATGATGGACATTCACTCAATTTCTAATCCTTTGCCACCACAAAAGAGCTGCTATTAATATATTTGTATGCATAGGTCCTTTTCCCTTTTTATGATCTCTTTGGGATACAGACCTAGTAGTGGCATTGCTAGATCAAAGGGTATGTACAGTTTCATTGTCCTTTGGTTATGGTTCCAAATGGCTCTCCAGAATGGTTGGATCAGTTCACAACTCCACCAACAGTAATGCTCTCCTGTTTTAAAAAGTAACTTCAGTAATAGTGTATCATATAGAGGAAAAGTATGAATACATCCAGATATCACCGCATTCTAGTTTGTGACATTTGTTCTGCATTGGTTTATGAATCTCTTCACATCAAGAAGTGGTATAGATAAGCTCTTTTCTCTCTGTATAATCTTTCCCTTGGTGATCTCATTAGCTCCCATAGGTTCAATTATCTTTTCTATCAAGATGACTTCCAAATCTATACATTGAGGTCAAGTTTTTCTCCTGAACCTCAGTTCTGCATTACCAACTGCTTAAGGGACATAAGACTCTCAAAGTCAACATATACAAAATAGAACTCATTCTACTTCCCCTCCAACCTGTCCATCCTCCAAACTTCCTTATCCAATCACCCAAGCTTGTGACCTTGAATATCTCCTGGACTCTTCCATCTCTTTCAATATCTCCACCATATTCTGTTAGTTGCTAAATCTTGTCAATTCTATTGCCACCATATTGCTCATTATCTGTTTCTCCATCCACACAATCTCTACTTTTGTTTAGGCCTCCTAGCTTCCAGTCTCACGCCTCTACCATCTGTCCACAGAAGGTCCTTAATAAATGCTTCTTGACTGATTCCTACAACATAGCTCTGACCGCAATGTTCTCCTAGCCCTCAAAAATTTTTAGTACCTCTCCTTCCTTCTGCCCATTACCTCTAGGATGAAATGCAAAACCTTCCACCTGATTTTTAAGATTCACTGCTATCTTGTTTTCACATACATTTCTAGTTTTATTTCATGTTTTTTTTCCTTCATTTACTCTCTATTTTAGTCAATAAACATTTATTAAGCACCTACTACATACCAGATGCTGTGCTGAACACTGGAATACAAAGAAAGGCAAAGGACAGTCCCTGCCTTCAAGGAGCTTACAGTCTAATGGCTAAGAGTCAAACCAGTCTAGTTTTGTAGACATATTATTATCCCCATTTTATAGATGAGGAAATTAAGGCAAACATAGGTTAAGTAACTTGTCCAGGGTCATCCAGCTAGCGTCCGAGGCTGGATTTGAACTTAGGCCTTCCCAACTCCAGGCCTAGTGCTCTGTCCATTGTGCCATCTAATTGCCTGTTTTATGAAGAATGACATTACAAAGTGTCCCCAGAGGTGTTCTGCAATATAGGATGTTCCAGGCAGCTGCCTCCCCATCTATCCCTTGTTCCACTCTCTGTTAATGCCTGCAAGAGCAGCTGCTGTTCATAAGGCTGAGTGGTGGAGATGGTGTGGGGGAGGCTGGCACCCTGCTTGGCAGCTCAAAACACTGGCTGCTGCAGTCTGTTTGGAATGAAGCATCTTGTTTTGTTTATCTCTGTGTTACCGACCTATTACTTCACCTCTGGATTCTCATTTAGCCTAAGCCCAGTCCCTATTTTCGTTTGCAACCCTATGATCAGAATTGAATGTCAATCCAATGTCTCTTCTCAGGCTAGGCTCTAGGCTTCTGGTATATAGTCTGACTCTGGGCCA